GAAACAAGCAAGGACATAATCACTGTTCCATGTGTTCATGTGTCATAATAGAGGTCAGGGACAAATTTCTGTAATAATACACAGTATGGGGGTCATGCTACCAGTCGGTGACTCTTAATAACCAGTATTAATCATGGTTATCTTTTTTTTTTTGATGAGTCAGTAATGCAACCAAAACCTTCATTTTATTTTTCTTGGTATTCTCAGCACAGGGCTTGGCATGTAGTAGGTGGTTATTAAATACTTGATAACTAACTGAGTGATGCTTTTTCTTATGAAAGAAAATAAATGTTTTTAGAAGAGTCAGCTTTATACCACAGTTTCAGGGAATGAATTGTGATGAAAAGTGAAGATTGCTTTTACTTGAAGGAGGCTGACAAATTTCCGAGACCCAGGATCACTTTATGCTGTGTATGATTTAAGGGTGAGTGAGCATGCCAAAGCGCTCCACTTGAGCTGAGTAATGGGGAATGAGTTGTAGAGATGTGGTCTTAGATGGTATTTTGTGAAAAATAGTAGGAGATTTATGTCTATTAAACAATTTTGTAGCTGCCCTCTTCTTGTTTTGAAACCTGCCAAATCAGTCCTCCTGTGGTCTGTATCATATTCCTTCAGGGCATCCATGATGTTCAGAAATATCCATTGGAATGCAGGTTTCCATGGAATGCACCCAATGGGAAGGGACTTGAATTTTACATACTCATCTGAAGACATTTGTTTTCTGCAACCACTGAGTGAAATTCTCACTTTGCAAGTCTCTCATGGAGTGTGCTATACTCCCATTGACTCTTTTCCAGTGAGGTTGCCAAAGTTCTCCTTCCTTCCTGCATTATGGAAATTGCAGTGTACAGTATATTAGTGACTATTATCATTATTGATGTGAGTTTAAAAAATTATCAGCAGCTCTCCAATTGTGAGTAGGGAAAGAGGATACAGACCTTCAGTATGCTTTGACAAATCTTAGGCGGAAGGACTTACCAGGCTGGCATGATCATTTCAAGCCTTGGTGTGAAGGGGGTACATATTTACTATTATTTAACAGCTTTTTCCAATCTATTGTCACACTTAGCAGCTTTAGAAAAAACAGAAATGGGATATTTCATTGCAAAAAAGCCAACCATAAATGGCCTCAATCCATGTTGTGTGAGTATTGGGAAGCTGTTTGAAGAAATTTCCTCTCATTATGGGTTCATATCAATATAGGATGGTATGGATCAGAGAGAACACAGGAACCTTGTTTTTTTCTGTTTTTTTTTTTGTTTAATTTTGAGAAATTTCAAAAATGTAGAAAAGTTGAAAAATAATGAACACATGTAATTACTTTGCCACTGGCAAGGGACAGAATTTATATTTTCTAATATTTGATATATTTGTTTCTAAGCCTTGTCTTAAAATAAATAAATCTTATATATATATAATTGAAGCTCCTCCCACTCTGTTAGCCCCAGTCCTATTACTCTGCCTTCTGGCAGAGAAAACCATTTTCATGAATTTAGTGTTTAAGTTGTATAATTTTTAGATGTTTCCATACAAACATGATGTCAAAGAACTACATATATATAAATATTATACCATATTTATCATTTTGCAACTTGTATTTTCACTGTGTTAAAATTTTAGACCTATTCAAGTTGAGATACCTAGATCAGGTTTATTACTCTTAAATGCTAAATATTATTCTGTCATATGAATATACAACATTTTATTTATCCATTTTCCTCATTGACAGGCATTTGAACTACTTCCAATTTGTTCTGTTCTAAATAATCATGCAATAAACACTGTTTTATGTTCCACTTTATAGACCTGAGTGAAATTTTCCATAGTGTATACATTTGAAATGGAGTTGCTGTACTAATTTTCAATTTTACTAGATGCTGCTAAATTACTCTCCAAAGTAATTGAACCAGTGTCCATTCCCAATGGCAAGGGATGAGAGGTTAAAAGTTCTTTCCCTTTCTTCTCCTTGGCACTTGTTGTAAGACTTGAAAGTTTGCCAAGATGGCGAGTGGAAAAATTTTGTCTTGTTTTAATATGCATTGCTCTTCAGACTAGTGAATTTGACCATCTTCTCTTTCATTCATTGACCACTCAGGTTTTCTCTCCTTTGAATTGCCTGACGTTTTCATTGTCCATTTTTCTATTGTATTTTCAATTATTTAGGGACATATGTATTCTGGATACTAATATTTTGTTGTAGATGTTACAAATATCTTTGGACAGGAGTGATATCTTTTTTTTAAAGATTTTATTTATTTGACAGAGAAAGAAAGAGAGAGATCACAAGTGGGGGTGGGGGGAGAGGGAGAGGGAGAAGGGGCTCAAGCCCAGGACCCTGGGATCATGACCTGAGCCGAAGCCGGATGCTTAACCGACTGAGCCACCCAGGCGCCCCAGGACAGGAGTGATTTCAAAAGTAAAATGTAAAAGTATAATTCTCTGCCATAGGTAGTTAGGAAATTTGGCAAGGACTCAAAGATTTGAGAGGATTTGTGGTTCTGAAGATTCAGATTTACCCAAATTTCCCTATTCCCATTTTAGGGAATATCTTCTTAATTCAGGTAAAAGGAAATATTATTTAAGTTTTTCCACTTACATTTCTACCATCTCATACTCAATACACTGTGGGTATGTTGCTTCAGTTTCAAGAGAAGTTCTTTATTTTGCTTCGCCCACACTGTTGTATAAGTACCACCGCTAACCGACTGCGCCATTGGAGCGCCAAGGAAGTTCTTTATTTGGGGGCAGGTAGTGTGCAAGTTGAAGACATTGTCTTGTCCACTTGTTCCATATGACAATCATACTTTTCTTAATTGTGCCTGCAAACATAATATTCAGAGAACAAATTGAAAAGATCACATGGACTTCATTTTGATAAGAGCCAAGTCAAAGAACTGGTAGTTAGAATCTTAATTTGTAGTAGTTTCCCTAAACATCCAGCCATAGATGTTCCACTGAAAGGCACCGTTTGCAAAATTGTTCTTTTCCTGGATTCGTTTTCATGACTCAAGTTTATAAATGGACACCGAGCCGAAAAGTAATTGGACGTTAGGCATAGAATGATGACTGCAAAACAGAACTCGGGCCATACCAGTTTTGCTTTGACTACACCTGGAAATAAAGGTAAATAGCTATTTTACTCTGGGTTATAAAGCTCTAATGTTTTGCCCAGTCAGAGGTATTTGCTGAAAGGTAGTTTCTTCCAGTAATTTTAGGAAAAGCTGTCATCAAATTGTCAACAGCCCAAATTGAAATTAAATGCACTAAGAAATATCACAGTATAGCAACCTAAAACTTATAGTGGAATTGTAGGCCTTTTTAGCATTGAGATGGAATAGAAACATTGACAGAGAAACTATGGCCTTTTACTAAGGAAGTATGGTAGATCTATGGAAGGATGGCCCCTATGACTTTGCCCCATATATGCTGCCTCAAGCATCGAATAAGTGCCATATTTAGAAGACTGTCACTGTGTCTCATTTATCACGTGGGTGACTGCCAAATGGAGGGACATGTGGTGACTCTAGTATTTGAAATTTAATCTAATTTCTGACTCTTTTGTGTTCTTGCAGTATCCTAAATATCTAATGATGTAGTATGTAGCAAATCTTGTCTACTTTTTAAAACATTTTTCTTAGTGACTGAACTTTTATCTTTCTGGACCCAATACGCTTGGATCAAGCTTTAAACACCACATATTTCCCTTCGAGCTGGAGTGAAGTAATGCTACCTGAAATCTGTCTCTACCTTAGGGACAGAGCTTCTGATTCTGCCCCATTCAGAACTCTTTCTATAAGTCTCCACTGAAAGCCGCTTAATCAAACATCTCAAATGTCAGAAGCAGTGTTTAAAGGGTTTTTCTAGCAAGTAGGTCTAATCTCCTACTTAGTTTTGATTCCTATAATGTAGATAATCTCTTTGGAGAAAAGGCCTCCTCCTAGCAGGGCAAATATATCCCATAGAATGTATTTCCTATTCCAGAAAGAAAAATGTAGCATTAATGAAATTTACTTTTTCTTGAAGCTTGGAAAGGTTGTAAGCTTAGGATTTTGATCCTAGCAGATGTTCTTTTTTGGATATTAAAAAAAAAAAAAAAAGTATTTGATTCAGAAGTCTCAGTAAGAATTGCAGTGGTGATGCTTTTTGCTATAAGCAGCCACACTCTGAATGTGACAGACCGGTCATTGGTTCTGAGGGACAGCTGACCCGACAGCTGTAGTCCTCTGTTCCTGGCCTCATCCCCATAGTTGTAGAGCTAGAGAGAGAGAAAGATAGCACCACTTACACATATGGGTCACACTATATACAGTTTGATGGTTAAAGAGCTGTGTGTGTACAATAAAAAATCATCTTCAAAATACATTTCATACCATTTTCTTTTAAGTCTTGGAATGGCAAAATTTTATTGATGACCATTATATCCCAAATTTCAGATGAGTTTTTCAGTGTTATTGTTAAACTTAGCCAGAACCCCAACTGCAAGGTGCGCAATGGTTTATATCCTTCAGTACGGTCACTTCCTGCTGCTGAGCCCTCAGCTTCTGTGTGTCTCAGTGCCACGGGGCCCACACAAACCAGCCCCATTTTTCCCCATCCACTCTGGGGCAAAGCTCAGCGTCCTCACTGGTTTCCAGAGAAATTTCATAGTGAACATTTAATCTGTGGGAAGTACTGGAAGAAGGCAGGTGACAGAAATCTAGCTCTATATCATTTCTGGCCTTCACCCTCTCTCCCTTCTTCTTCCTCCTCCTTTCAGTTCAGGAAATAAACAAGGGGTTCCCTTGTCTCAGGGCCCTTCCACCTGTACCAAGGCTCCTCAAAGCTTTGTATGCTACCCTACACTCAGCAGAAAATTATCTCAGCACAGACAACTCTTGCTTCCTAAGACTCTTGGTTGATAATATTTCTTCCAGGCCCAGATCCCTAGGAGGCATGTTTGGTAAATGAAGGTATTTAGTGTTTGGTGTTACTTCATGTTGACATTTTCTTTTATTACACAGGCTTCCAGTGACTGCATCACGGCCTCTCCAGTGCACCACTATACACCCCTGCCTTCTGCTTCCAGGGATCTCACCAATCATCGAGGTAGGAACTTGGCTTTTTATTGCTCTTAGTGGTTGCAGGGAGGGACACTTGGCTGTGCAGAGCTCTGGGTTCATTATTGCTGCCTCGGCACTTTAGAAGGAACACAGTGCTTTTCAAGTCCTTGATGAGAAAACCATACCTGTCAAACCTAGCGATTTTAACTCATATTAAACAGAATTTAGTGGCAGTCTGCTGGGAAGGCAAATAAATCCATGCTCTAATATAATTTTGTGATTTGATTTATTTTTTGCTTTAAGTAAAGAGATTATAATACTTAAAAATTACTAAGTAGATCATTACCTGCAGCAAAAGTGATGGAGAGAATTGGGAAACTCACTAATATTTGTAAAAGTATCATTGTTTGGGGAGTAGAGTAGTTGAAATCTGTAATTTCAAAATGAATGAACTCTACATTAAGCTAAAAGAAATTCCAGTTTGCCTAGCAACATGGCAGAGAGTTGGTGCACAGTTTTCCTTAAATTATCTGATCCCAAAACATTAATTTGGTTTACCCAGTGTTTCCAAAGCCTTGAATTCCTATTGTCATCTCTGGAGTCTGCATGGAATATAATTTAAAATTGCCTTGTCCCTAAGCTGGTTGCTTAGACCAAGGACTGTATGGTCACCTTTGTCGGAACTGGAGGGACGGGAAGAGGCCCTACAGTAAAACTTGTTTACCCCATTTTATCCTGGTTCCGACAGCCACATTTCTTAATTGTGAATCTACCCTCCAATGGTAAGTAAGAACAGGCTTCGTTTGAGGGCATTCCATACTTTAAATAGCATTTCTCCAAGCAGGAAATTCCTCTCATACAGTTAGGGAACACTGAATAAGTACTGTTCCAGGTCTGTCATCCCAGGTACATTGTAGGCTGGGTGGGTGGCAACTAAGGCTGTAGAGAGGCCCAGAAAGTGGTGAAGTTGGCACTCTGAGAAGACATGTGGGCTCTGGGCAAATGGCCCTCTCTTCTTCTGCAGGAAATGGTCAAGATTATAATGCAGGATTCCAGGTGTCTGTGACTTGTACCTGTGTTGCCTATTTGATGTCTGGGAACAGTAGAACTTTTCTCCATTTACATATATTTTGGTTCAATTATGATTCTGTTCACTAAGTGTCAGTTTTGTGAAAATCAACTTTGCTCAAAGGCAGGTAGAACAAATAGCTGCCAACATGCCATATTTTGAGGGGCGTGTATAGATTTCCTTCGCTGAATGTCCTTATGGAAGTGTCAAACATATTCCTTTAGAGACTTTTTTTTTTGAGAGGGAAGGGGAGTTCCCCTAGGTAAATAATAATAGCATATCTAGACAGAATAATGAATTAACTCTAGCATTATATCCTCATGGATTTATTTATTGGTTTCTTATATTTGAATAAAGGTATTTTTAGTCTATAGCCCATTGAGTACTCTACATAGGAACTGAAAGCTCATAGCCCTTAAGCCTACTTATAAAAGTTGATCTAGCCATGAAATTGAGATTTCACAATAGAAGGACATGATCAGATCAATGATAATCCTCCATAATAGGACAAAGATCATTTGTCACTGTAATGGTAAAATAAGAAATCTGAACCTTAAAGAAATGGAATTTAAGAATACAAGTTTTGAAGGTATGTTGAGTAATATTTGGAATATGGAAAAATGCCCAAGGTGTTTAGAGTTAAAACAAGTGCTCTTCAATGACGTCAGAGCCCGGCATCAATGGGAACATTGTTGTTGAGAGGACCCAGCAACAGATATCTCAATTTTACTGAGGAATGTGCCTATAAGTTTAATGCTCTGGTTGTTTGAGCAATGCTAAGCACCTGGTAGTGAAAAAAGGCAAGTCAGCATCATGAAATGGCAGGTAGGTCTTTGGGCCTGTGGTCATGTGGACACCACTAAAGAGAGAGCCAAAGAATCTCATTAAGGTTGAATTATTATAGGACTGATCCATGTAGGGAAGAGATGACACTGATCTATTTTAGCTTGGCCTGAATCATATGATAACAAGTGGTAAAAACCTGATTTTTAGGCACCCAGAATGAAACCACTTAATGCCACCTTTTTTTAAAAGATATATTTATTTATTTTAGAGAGAGAAAGAAAGAGTGCACATAAGTGGGGAGAGGGGCAGAGGGAGAGAATCTTCAACTGCTGAGTGAGGAACCCAATGCAGGCTCCATCTTACGATCCATGAGATCATGACCTGAGTTGAAACCAAGAGTTGGATGCTCGACTGACTGAGCCACCCAGGCACCCCAGTGCCACCTTGTTTTTTTATATTTAAGTTAAAGAAATTATTATAAATTTTTGATCATATAAGTCACCAAGCTATTTGTTTATCATTTGTTAATACCTTTATGGAAACTGCTTACAAATGTTTGTCCAGAGAGGCTCTTTCACGTTGCGAAGGCAAATTACATCAGTTCTTGCCCAAATGAAATCCTCCATGATGTCTGAAACTTGGTCTAAAAAATCTGAAGTGGAAGTTATATTTGCAAATAATTTTTGATTCATCCAGTTCTCAATCTCTTTTCATTCCACACCAACAACTACATAAACTGGTGAGCAGTAGTTCATGTGCAAATTGGTATTTTTTTCTATACATGCCATTTTCCCTTTACTTGTCCTTTTATGTTACTTCCAATGTCGAGTATGATAGACCCAAGATTCATGTCCTAAGGACTGTAGATTCAAATGTAAAGGAAATCTGGGCCCAGAATAATTATCAGGAGATGGGGGACTCTATTTTTCCCTCTGTAATTTATAGTTAATCTATGCATTATAGGGATAGTAATGCACAGTACTTTTTGCTTCTTGTATGAATTTTTTTCTATATTGATTTTTCCCCTTTCTGAGGTACTTAGAATATTTGTTTCTATCTCCTTAGTGCAATTTTTTATGTTCTGTTTTGTGTGAAAGAGGTCAAGTATATGTAGGTCTTGAACTCTTTACAAATGAAAGCTCCCTGAAGGTGGTACAGATTCTCATCTTTCTTCTCTTGCACATCACTGACTGCTGCTCATCCCCCAGGTATCAGCGTAACTATCACAGCTGTAAGGAAGACTTTTCTGATCTCACCCCACACATTTATATTGGGTCAGTGTTCATTTTTCAGGCTTTTTCCCCAGTGTCTTCCCGGACAGTCTATAAGCTGTTGGAGGCAATGGAGGAGATGGTGTCTATTTGCTCACTACTATACCTGCAATGCCTGGCACAGGGCCTTCTGCTTAATAGGAGTGCGATAAATATTTGTTCAGTAAATGATGAATGGTAGAAACCCAGGGGGAAGTCAGTAATTTAGATATGTGAGATAACTTCATTGTGTCTGGAAAGAAGACCCATCTTCCTTTGGGAGTAGGTGATAGGGGAAGGAAAGGCCAGCCTTGTGGACCTCAGACCTCAACTCTGTTGCTTTCACAAACCCAAATCATCGCAGTTGGGGCCATATGTATTGATTCATTTTCATACAACATTTAGCCACATTGTATAACTTCCAAATAGATAATAATTTTAACGTCATAGTTTCCAAACTCTGGTGTTTTGATGGTAAGAAGGAAATAGGATGAACTGAAGCAACTAGTGGAATTATTTTACTAGTAACAGAAGCTCTCAAAGAAGGGCCTGGATGCACCATAAGATGCAGGCTGTGGTATAGATGTGGTTTTAGAATGGTGCACCTGAAATCTCTCTGGGAATTCTTCTCGAGGTCTAAACATGTCTTTGGAGTCTACAGAGGCCGTGGGGCTGTGTCAGGAATCCCAGTTATTACCTAGTGGCAGTCTGCTTACTGTATCGTCTGTGGGTTGTGGGTATCCACATTAGGAGGAGTGTTGGAGTGTTTGTTCGAGAAATGTTTCTTTAAATATGTTATGTGCATGGACATATACCTGCATATCAGGTATTGCTACTCTATCTGGTAGCTGTTAGAAATGGAATTTGCATTTATGTAGACCATTGTGTCTTTTGGGGAAGACATTTCTATTTAGTGAGTTGACCATATTATCCTCAAGACAACCCTATAAAGGAAGGAGGGTAAATATTATTATTGCCATTTAACAGAGGAAAGCACCAAAAATTGCTCGGGGAGACTGAGCCACTCAGTGACAGAGGCAAGGGAAAAAAAAGTCCGAGTTCTGTGTCCTTGATTCCCAGGCCACCCATGACATTTGTCCTTCGCACAGGACATGAAGCAAATGCAGGACTGACTGTGGCATTGTGCTAGAGGGAAGAAGGAATTACAAGCAGAGAAATGGCCTGGAAATGTCCACTGCCAGGGGTGCATTTCTACAGCCTGTGCTAAGTCTGCAGCTAAGTATAACATCCTTGCCTCTTCAAAGAATTGTCTGTTACTCTCCTTCCATCCCTTCTTTTAAATTAAAAATCTATAAATTCAAGAAGAGAGATAGTTTGAAAAACCAAAGGGGTAGATACTATGACATCTGTCTGAATTCAGATAGGGAAAATAGAAGGCCCACTATGTATTCACATGATAAAGGGGTTTAATGTAAGGAATGAGAGAGAGGCTGGTCCAGTCAGGGAGGACCCCACCCAGAGTCTCAGTCTCTCACGGAGGCTGGTGATTCTCGAGAGCTGGCTGAAGTTTCTGCACATCTCAGGAACACCTGGGAATCTACTACTGATGTTCTCTATCTGCAGCGGCCAGGTGGACACTGCTTCAAACAACAGAACTACCCAGGCATTGCCCTGTTTCTCTTTCTCTCTGGATTTCCAAGTCGTACTCCAAAGTGTCTCTCTTTGGCTCATTCTAACCTAGAACCATGTACCAAGGGAAGTCTCAGAAATGCAATTTCCAGTTCCTCCTCTGAGCTGTGGAGAAAACCTTAGAAGAGGCTGGTGGTGATGCAAGGTGATAGCAGGCAGTCCCACGCGCATACCATGATCCAACATTTCCAGTAGCGATCACACTGAGGGTCCCATTCCAGTGCATTTGTGTGCACATTTTACAAAGTAATTGCAAGCCCAGTGAGCGTCCCTGAATTACTATTTTTTTCT